ATATTGTTAAAATAAGGCAAATAAAGATGATGATGATGATGATGATGATGATGATGATGATGAACTCTCCAGCAAAGTACAAGACTGACTCGCTTCATTAAGTTGATATTACCAGGTGATATATTACCTGTATTTAAATCTGGGCCGCTAGTGGTTGTAGATGGAGATGCTGTTGTAGTCGTTGGCTCTATTGCTAGAAGATGTGAAAAACATCGTAATCAGATTATGAAAATTACCCTAACATACCGCGTACAATATTTCTCATCATTCCACTAAGCGTTTAAAGATTAAAGGCGCATTAAGAGCCCATACTGGCTATGGGCCAGTATGGGCTCCTCGCCCTGTAACTGTTGTCGCTGTAATGAAATATTTTTCATTGTTAAAATAAGGCAAATAAAGATGATGATGATGATTTAGTTACCAGTTCCACACCGCTGGGAGCTTGGAGCGCGAATAGTGAATAAAGCTTGAGCATTCTCAGATGTTCTGAACATTAAACTGGGAGACACACTTGAAATGTCCAAATCAAATTGCTGAGGAACGGTTACTTACAGAGCAAATGAAGAAATATGAAGTGCATGGTGCTGTATCGCCTTCAAACAGTGACGATAGTTTGAACACACTGAACTTTTGTGAAGTTTATGATTTGTCTTTGTTTTTGCTTTACAGCAGTGAATAATTTCATTTTAGTTCACGCTTATCTATAAATTATTGCTTCATTTTTTAATTTTGAATAAATTAGCGTATACTTCGTTGTAAACAAAATTTCATGAAATTATGCCAAAACAATGAGCTATTAAGTCGCCAGTTACCACTGCTGCTTGCCACTATGTAAATCATTTATCAAAGTCTATGTCCCGCCTCATGTACTTAGGAAGGACACTTTCTGTCATTTCCATGTAAGACAAGGCTATACTAACTACTTCTTTAAACATGATCGTCTACGGAAGAGTGACCTGATTGCAAAATGGAGTCGTTTTCTCAGTGCAAAAAGGGAAGACCGTTTATTGGTATTTCTAATTGTGGTTTGCTAGTACATGTCACCAAAAAGCATTATAACATAATAAAAGTAAAGCCTTTGTCACAGGAAAACCGACAGGTTCGTCCGAGAAGATTAGAACAGTTCTGTAAGCTTCCGTTAAGGGGGAGCAGACAGCTGCGGACAGCGGCTCACTGATGCTTGATCGCATGAAGAAAACAACAAAAATTCGATTGCTATTTAAAGGTTTCTGTTCACCAGCCTAACCGTAAGTATAATGTGTTTTCTTAGGAACGGTCGAACCGTTAAGGTCATTAAACACTACTCAACGAGAGATCACTTGAAATTTAAAATTGTTATTTGCATAAAATGGTATTTCAGGGGACGTACGAAGTGTATTCAGGCTAATATCGAAATTTACTGAATGATACAGTTTTTTCTGGTCACGTAAGATTTGTTAAATAAAAGGGAACTCTTTAGCTACAATGTCTCAATATTATGTTATAAAACAAATGGTAAACACCACAGC